AACCAATATTATGTGAAAACCAGTTTTTGAGAATTAATTTGAAAAATGTTCTGCTTATTAAAAGATGCTGTCATGTCTCGACAACCGAATGGTGGAAACCGCAAGTCTATAGCGTTTCGCGTTTAAGAGCCATTTCAGAACAAGCTTCCGACACTGCTTTTTGGTGATGCTAGTAGGGTATTGATGAATTTACTTGTGGTTGATGCAGTTGTTGTTGTGGTGACTGAAACTACATGCAAAATAAACAGGATTTTCATTTTTTTGAATGATTTCGCTAATATGAAGTCTTACAAGTAGAAGTAGTTGTTGTTCTTGTTCCTGACGTGGTCATCGCTTAAATGATAAAAGTTAAAACTGCAATTTGGCCAAAGTCACATAGTGATAGAGGTGTATACTTGTGGTAACTCCTGAGGTACTTGTCGTTGACGTTAAAACTAACGAAAAGAAAAAGAAACTTAACACTGAGGAGTACAATTGTTATATCTGTGATGGCGCTTGTACCCATTGTTGTGTATAGTGTTAAATTTCCATTGGTTCCTGGTCGAAATCCGATACCCACACCTAAACCAAGTGCTAAGCCAATCAGTATTAATGTATTAATAATACTAACTGAAATAATTAATGGTGAAAATGTTTGGTGTTGGGCTTTCATTAGGTAATACAATTTATTCTTTTTCAAACTAATGTAATAAACATTGGATGAATAATAAAAAACTGTACACAGACTAATTTAGGTAGTAAAGAGGTAAAAAATTACCTTGGTTTCTTTGTAATTGAAATGAAATTACATGAAAAGAAATAGAAAAACCTATGTGCTGTTGTTGGTGTTGCTGAATTCGACTGCACTTAAGTTTTTATCTCATGTTCCCAAGGTATTCTTAATATATTATTAGTTCTTTTAATGTTTGTTTATAACAGTGTTATAATTAGCCAGAGGCTAAAATGAGCTTTTTATGTTATCATGCCTGTATACAGGTATATGTTAGAGTTAGGTGTGTGAACAGAGTGCCAATAAATTTATATCAACTGTATTAACCCTGTGGAGTTTATTTACAATAGACGACAATGAAATAACAATGAATAAAACAATACGAATAAAGAAATATGATTGAATAAATTGTAATCGAAAAACTAACTAAAATGAGCAGTACATGTTCTTTTATATAAGAAACAAAGAACAGTCTAGATTCTATGTACATGTCAAGAAACGACAAGAAAAACTGTATAAAATAACTAAAAAGAGAAGAAGAATTGACGTGAGAGGTAGCTCTCTCACAGTATGCGAGAACTAAACTACTCTTGTGTAATAAAGATATCGAACGAAACTTTTAATTAGAGAACGAATACATTCATTCCTTCATTGAATTCATTATACCTAGTCGTATACATTTCTGTTTTTCTCTTCAGTACCACGATATGATACTTATATAGTATATACATAATACATGATAGTATGATAAAATTAAATTGTTTTGACCATTAAAAGAAAAAAGGAATAAATAAAAAACTAATGAAGCGCGTAGTAAATGAATTTTGAGCAAACTTGAAAAAGAGAAATATATCACTTCAGATGCAAAATGTATACACAAGCTAAGATGCAGGTAATGCAACCTTCAAGTGAAATTGTTTTTTGATATTATTATACATATTCAGATTCAACTTAATGCGCTGATTAATTACGCATAACACCTTCCGAGCCTCCAAAAGCCATTTCTTTATGGACAAAAACCCAAATTACTGAGAGGACCTCAAAAATACCCAAAACCATCCTCTATGATGAAATTGACTTTTTGAGCTTGTGTTGCAAGATGAAAGGTTCGAACTATATTTTTTCTGAATCAGCATTGAAAAGTGATCTAGAAAAGGTCTTCAATTGATTTCAGAGGTAAATGGACCTTCGAACCAACGGCTGTCAACTAGGTATGTCTCATTTTGTAAATCTATTTAGTTTTTTGGGTGAAGGACTATATCGATGATTCACACACCGTCAGATTGGCAAACACGCCAGCTTTAAGAGTACGTAGAGCTTTTTTCAAAATTCGTTTTCCTTGCTCAGAAAACCGGCTTTTACTGGAACCTAAGAGAAACAGCGAGGAGATCTTTGGAAAACCAGGCCGTGTGTAAACACTTTCAATAGGATTGTATTGATTTTCTTCCATGCTATGATAGCCCAGGGTATCTTCTTCAAAATGATGAAGCTATTCTATATCTTATTTATAGGAGATCTTAAAAAAAGTTTAAAAAATTCTAAGATTTTTCAAAAGGGTTTCTGGAAAACCCATTAATGCAGATATGCTTTTTCGATTGTTTCGACCTTATAATAACGTTTAGCAGAGAAAATCGACCATATCCTGAAGGTCTGAATTCGTTCTGATGTTTATTGAGTGAAAAATGAACTTTTTAATAGTTGAAACAGCTTGAAAACCCAAATTTTCCTAAAACTCGCTTTTCGGTAGACTTTTAGAACTTTGTCTGAAAACAAATATTGCCACAAGACTCAGCATAATGGATTACCTATAGTCCATCCGTTTTCAAGGCTACCAATAGTCACCTGGTGCCAGTCTTGGGACTCACAAGAATGGTTATATTTTATAGCTCACACTTTCCTCTACATTAGGCTATGCTCAACTCAAAAGCCGAAATAGAACAAATACCATGCAGTATTTTCACTATTCAAATAGTTTAATGTTTTCGGGAATTCTTGTAACAGTTTTGCTGAAAGACGCATGAAAAACGTATGGATACGTAGGTTATCGACTATGCTGCATTCATGACAATGTCTTTTTTTAAACATAGCAGTTGATAAGGAGTTAAAAATAGTCATGATAAATCAGAACTGGTTACATAAGCTCATTCTCTTCTGAAAAATACTTTACTTGAATAAATTATTGGTGTAATCAATGTACAACAGCTTTATAAAAATGATTTATTTTCTCCTTCATTTGGGAATGATGAACAACACAACTGGTATGTGTTAGATACATATGATACCGATATGCTTGGTTCAAATACAAATGACTGAAACAAATGGATAGTTGAAAATTTTATGTAAACCACTGATATGTTACATAATTGCTCTAAAGACAACTGGATGATAGTGATAATGCGAAAATACTCGGAACAGAGACGAATGAACATATTAATGCGTATTCAAACAACAACAATGAAAAGTACAATGCAGCGTTAGACGGGACGGATCTACTATTGAAATGTCTTCAAAATAAACTTTTTAATTCAACTTGTAAACTCACAGAAAAGAGAACTGATAGACGAGAAATATGAAACGGTCTTTACGATCTTTTTTGACCAAGTTGCAAGCTTTCCAAAATAGAAGCAAGCGTCTCAAATTTCATTCAAGGAGTAGGACGGATAAAACCCTTTCCTAGCCCACAAAATTTTCGTTTTTTTGCGTTGGAACTATGCTAGCGGATGCTCAGGAACATTTTCAGACACTTAGTTTCACGAAATCTCTCGGACAGATTTTTGAGGCCTGAGGTCCCCTCCAGGATTTCTGAAGAACTTTTCATTTTTTATTTTTTGTTGGCTTTAGCGTAGTTCGATAGATAACATTAACTTATGTAAGGAGAAACTCTTTTCAATGTTTCCGAATGAAGTTTGACGCAAAAATTATTTTTTTCACGAAATATTATTCACCTCACCTTATGGCTAGTTTCGTTCGAAGAAAGCATTTTGAAGCAAAACTCTGGGTACAAAAGTTGTTCAGAATCGAATTCTGCAGTCCCTCACAAGAGGTTTTTTAAAATTGTCCTTTTTTGATTTTTAAATTAAATTTTACGATTTTTAAAGTTTTAAAATGTCGTATTTTTCAGTTAAAAGCGAATTTTCAAAATATTTCATTTTCCGACCTTATTTTCGTTTCCATATTGAAACAAAGATTGTCACGGTAATCAGCGTGCTCGATTACCTATGATTCACATGTTTCTGAGATTTCCAGACGTGTTGGGAAGGAGAAGATGTGTCCTCGGAAAACACCTGTATCTCCGGAACCAAAGAAGATGAAGACCTGGGCCTTGCGTAGTTTTCAAGAGAAATGTTTCGACTATAAAATGGTATTATAGGAGATTGTATTTCATAGTGCTGTTTAGGAACGGTAAGCTTTCGGATTTTGCCTCGAATGGTACACCATGGTAAACCTGATCGAACGCCATGATTTCTTCACAGATCTACGTGCCCCAGTGTCTAGTTTCAGAAACTGAAAACCGCAAGTCTGTAGCATTCACCGGTAAAACGTTATAAGCGAAATATCGGAGTCCATTATATTTTGATCGTCCAACTCTGTAAGGTTATTCAAACAATACAAACGTTATTGTAGAGTTTATCGTAAAACTATAAAACTGCCACATTTATTACAAAAAAGACACAATTTTGAGTGTGCTTCAGTAACAAGCTTACAGGTTTTTTTTAAAACTCTGTAGATTGATGTCTGCAGCTCCCCTGTTCGTCAGAATCGGTCCCAATTGCCTCAGGCAGATTGCTTCTGTCCAAATGGTCACATTAAGGAGCAGTGCGTCCTCTAAATCCATATCTTCATCTGAAACCATCAGTCTGAAAAGATTTCGTCATCACGAGCTCAACACATTGCTTTTTATTTTTTATCGTCTTGGCGATAGACCCAAGGGGGAAACAGCTGAATTTGATACGTTTTTGAATTTACTTGAATTTAACTGAATTTAGCTGAATTTAACTGAATTTAACTGAATTTAGCTGAATTTAACTGAATTTAGCTGAATTTAACTGAATTTAGCTGAATTTAACTGAATTTAGCTGAATTTAGCTGAATTTAACTGAATTTAACTGAATTTAGCTGAATTTAACTGAATTTAACTAATTTTGATTGACTTCGACTGATTTCAAATCGGTTAGATTCACTTATAGTAACTGCCATGCATCTGAAGAACTACAGAAAGAGCAGAAAGTCGCTGACTTTAGTGGTTTATTAATACAAACGAAGATACAAGGTGATAGAAAAGAACCTTTCTCTATTTTTCACTCATCTGCATGACGCGAGATAAACGATCTGAAGATAGAGTTCTGTTTTCGTCAGTTAACATCCAGCAGGCTGACTGTTTATGTAGATACTGAACTTTATCATTGATTTTAATCTTGAAATATGAATCTTTCTGCCCATCAGCAACCTGCTCTCGTATTCTTAGTCCCTGAAGGTTCGCCTTTGTTGTTGTTAAAGAACTTTCATCGGTTTGATTGTCATCCTCATCATTACTATCATACGAGCGTTCATCACTTTCATCGCCATCGTCCACTTTATTCTCGTCATTATCCCCATCTTCGTTATCATCTCCTAGATCGAATTCAGAATCGATTTCAGATGAATTATCATTATCCATTTTTGAATTGTCAGCAAGCTTTGATTTTGTTCTTAAATGATGACCGATAAATTCACTTAATTCATCTAATTTGAACACATTGTGTTTTTTCAAGACTTTTGATATATTCAGCTGTTCAATGAGTTTAACAGCAAGTTCATATGAATTTCGAATCGTTTGTTGTACGTCCAAACTTTCTACATCACTTAAGTTTTGTAATGACAAAAACTGATTATCATGCTTGTGTTTATGATGAACAGGAAATTTCAATTGTTTCTCGGTTTCTACCAATTCTTTTGATTTTATGTCATTGAGGATGGTTAACTTTTGTGCTCGACGTAGAAAATCATGTACGGTGAAATTCACAATTGTAGAATATGCACCACTTAGTGCTCTTGTGTTTCGAAAAATCGATTCACAAGATTGCGAATTAAACAGATACAGATTTAAGGCTTCCTTAGGTAGTTGCTGTTGTTGAACAAGTACGATGAGGTATAGAAGACTGTGAGCATTAATTTCAACAGATAAATAAGCCGTACGTGTAATAAAGTATTTTTCTTTACTATTATTATTTTTTTTGTTGGACGGAAAGGTTGTGTGTAGCAGCCAAGACCACCAAAATCGGCAAACAAAAACGATACACCATGCCGTCGCTAACCCTTCAATATCAAAAGACAGAACCTTTTAAAGAAAATCGTGCATTCCACGTCTTCGATTAACGACCGAGAGTAATTGCGCTAGTTCTCCGCCAGGCCGTTCAAAACGGTTCTCTTAACGGCATGTTAGCATTACTATTTTTACACCGCGTGCACCACTTTTTCGCGGTTTATCCGACATTTTCGGCCGTTTTTACGCAGCTTTCGGTGCATCAAATTATAATGATCTAAAATGGTTCGTTTACCCGCCGTTAAAGGCCCGTTCTGTTTGGGACGGATGCACTCAATATCTCTAGCTAGGAAGACATTACAACCCATTTTTGTCTCTAGCAATTTAAGCTGTACAGGGATACTTTTTTCTGAGTAGCTTCCAGAGCTCCGTATAGACTGGACCGAGTCCATAGTTCAGTCCAGTCCAGACTGAACTAGACTGAAATTTTTTGGGTTTCATCGACTCGAACTGGGCTGGACTCAACTCTCAAGACTATCGACTGGTCTGGACTAGGAAAAATTTGGATAGACTTGAATCGAGGAAAAATCGGTAAAAGACAAGTTGTTTTTGTTTTGTTAAAGGCGATTCTATATAGCGTGTAGTACACACTATATCGAATTATTAACACTTTTTATTGTCATTTTTAAGGTTTCGAACTGTCTAAGTTCATCAGCAGAAAAATGTATAAAGAGAGATGTTATTTATACACGAAATTTGTACATATAAACGAACATATGAAATAGTCCGTCGGACGGTAGTTAAAACAAATGGAACACACAATGATACTAACAGGGAAGGAAAAGAAAAAACAAAATAAAAGTAAATTTTAAAAAGGACTAGAGAATGAGAGATATAGTTATTTCGTATTTATTTTTATCCTTTGACAAACACATCCTTCTGTGTATATCTCTCATTCTTTCAAGTCATTTTTCGAATTTACTTTTATTCTGTTATTTCTTTTCTTTCTCCGTTAGTGTCATCGTGTGTTTCTTTTATTTTAACTACCGTCCGACAGACTATTTCATGTGTTCGTTTATATGTACAAATTTCGTGTATAAATAACAGCTCTCTCGCTCTATAGCTCTTTGTACATTTTTCTGATGATGAACTAGACTGTTAGAAATCTTAAAAACGAAGATGAAAAGTAAGTATTAAAAATACAATATGTATAATTTTTAATACTTACTTTTTATTATCAATTTTACAATATACACTGTATACTGTAAAAAAGATAATCCAATGTTAGGAGAAGTCCTGCAATCGTCAGTCCATGCTTACTTAACTCTAGATCAAAATTCAGCCTTTCTTAAATAAACTGTAGTTTGAGAAGATAGCAACATCTGATCTAATATCTCAAACTCATGTCTATACCGCTGATGAAACAACACGGATTTTTTTAGCCCATGGACTGAACTGGACTCAAATTTTTGAGTCCATACGGAGTTCTGGTAGCTTCTTAACAAGTTTGCTTTTCTGTGCGAAATGTGGCCTATTATCATCTCTTTTATCAACTGTTTTTTCAACTTACGTTTTTCGATTGACGTTGATTTTTCAATATAAGATGTTATAATCATTTTTAATAATGTTAAATATAAGAGTGTTCCATTTGCATGGGTTTCCTCATTCAAAATATTTAATACATCATCTGATGTTAATTTAACACAAGACCTGTAATTCTGTCTATCTTTTGGGTTTATGTCGGATTTTGTCAGACCGTGATCCAGTTTTGTGTAATTATCATTTTTCAATATATTTTGTAAATGTTGAATGCATATAATTCCATTACCAATTCGTAATTCCGCTCGCTGTGATAGTAAACGATTTCTCCATTTTGTGACAAGATGTATTGGATCTTGTAGAAATATAAACAGCTGTTCTTGTCGAAGGAAAAACCACGGCCATTCGTTTGCAGTTTCAATACGAAAAGCGTCAGCACGTTCATGTAACTTACAGTTAGGAAATGACGCAAAAAATCCGCTCATGAGACGCATTGCTCTCATATACTTATTATCACCGTCTAAAGACAAAAACTAAAATTCAGAAGCCTCACTTGTTCAGAGAATCCGGAGTACAGAAAGGAACGACAAACTTTAAACACACGTTTACTTGTTGAATTTTTTAAACAAGGACAGTGGATATGTTCAAAAAATAAGTTTTAGCTAAAACTACTCAAGAATTTCATAGCAGTAGTTAGGAACCGAATCGACTTCGGTGCAGAAAAACGTGAAATTGTACCTGTCGAAAATCCAATAATTCGAAATTCTTTTTCCATGCAATTATCAAAAATAAAAATCCATCTTCTTATGATATCATATGCGGTGAATTTGTTGTTGACTCCGTAAGCTGACAGTAAAAAGGAACCAGAGGTTTTTATTTCATCCGAATAAGGAATAGCTTGAACCATGTGGATATTTAGTAACGGTGATTTTTCGATCGTACTGAACCATGATTGTAATTTATCAAACGAATCTGTTTTATAGTATAGTGGAAGAGGTACGCCGTTAGCCAATGGAGTAGCAAAACCGACAAAAGCATTTGTTTTTGAATCGTATTTGATTTTTCTAATAACTCCAGTACAGTCTTCTGAACAGAAGCCAAATTTCACATTGATTAAATTCAAATATTCTTTCAGTTTTTTAAATCTAAATTTTCCTTCATTTATAGTTGCTTCATTCGCTGAAATGAGAGTGTTAATTGTAGTTAAATTTGGGATGGATCCTGGCAGATTAATCCTAATGAATTCGTATGTCAATTTTCCGCCTAAAATATACAGACATACGGCAAAGTTCTTTATACACTCCTCGTAACGATAACGGCTTTTTGCATTTGATAAGTTTTTGATGATTGTGTGCATGAATGATGACAAAAATTCATGTTTACTGTGATTTGCAGATTCATTTTTAAAGAAATTCATTAAAGATGTTGATAGTTCTAATGATATTTGTTGTGGAAAAGTCCCATTAGATGTTTGATTTTGTTCAGATTTCGAATGAAATAATTTTGATAAATATTTGAAACTGTTTTGTAGGCCCGGTTTAACCATAAATTGTCCATTGGTCAATTTAAAACACGATTTACTTTTTATATCGTCTAAATCTGCTGAATCGTATTTAAAAATATCAAATAAATTTTGTGTATTCAGAAATATTTGTGCTGAATTAATCGCTTGTATTTTTAAAATATCTTTAAATAACTCACCCACCAATGTTGTAACAAAATCGAAGAACTCCTCATCTTTTAATGAAAGAATATTGTCTGGTAACACAGACGACTGGCAGAGATATTCTGTGTTATTCATTGGGAGAAAAAATCATCTAGAACTCTTTGAAACAAAAGAAAGTTGACGAAAATCGGTGAAAGTCGGAAAAATAAGCTGTTTCCCCCTTGCATACATGGCAGGAGTCACATTTTTTGTCTTTTACTAAGAAATGTCAAACATAGACACAATGTGCTGCTGTCAAACGAGATAGAAAGAAAAAAGGTTTTCTTATAGTTCTATCCTTTCGGACAAAGGACATTTGGACGGCTACCGAGTTATATGTGTTTCTTTCTCTTCCTCTTCTTTGGCTATGGCTGTGAATCCATCTGTCTGTCTATCTCATTAACATTCTTTTCGATTTCTGTCAACAGCTACTTCTTCTTACTACTTCCTGGACTTCTAATATGGCGTCTTCGATTTTCTATGATCTTCAAAGTTTACCAGAAGAAGCGCTTTCGTACACCGATCTTAAATTCTATGATATGGTCAGAGATTTACTTGGTTGTTCACATGCAAGGTTATTACAATTTCAACATATTAATTCAGTGCCCTGCTTCTTATTAACAGACGATGTCTGCGACGTTTTAAAAATGGAAATTGATGACACAGAGTTAGATGCCATCCGTGACGAAATATGTTACAAACTGAAGAGCGGTGGTTACGTCGTCAAGGGTGGTATTCAAACAAGTTTTCGTTGTTTTAAAGAATTTCTGCTGAAAAAAACGGAAGAGAAAATGAAACAGTTAAAATATAAACGAAAAGATACTACTACAATGACATCACCAAACACTTTAACTCAAACACAACTAACAACAACTACAATCTTATCGCAAGCAACAACAGTATCCTCACCATCATCCATGACTTCTGAACAACACAAACAACAGCTCATAGAATTAACAAAAGAATGGTGCAACGATTCAAGAGATAGTTTTGAATTAAAGAAATTGATGTTAGTCGAAGGCAATGATTATTTTTTAAATGTATTAGATACAGGTAATGTATTAGAAGCTAATGTTGTTTGTAAATGCGGTATTAAAACTGTTCTATGCAAAAACGTTGATAAATTTACAATGTCAAATTACTACAGACATTTGAGAAATACAAAATGCTCATTATTAAAAAATCTTAAAAAAAAAGAAGAAGAAGAAGACCTTCAACAACAGCAAGCAGCAACACGTGCAGCAGGCATGTCCCACCAGCAGCCAGTCATTCAAATTATAACGACAACACCAGTTGCCGTTCAATCGCCTTCTTCTATTTCTACTCCTTCCGCGTCCTCAGTAACGACAAGAGCGAAACGTTCGAATGATTCGCAAACCAATACTCCGGCAAAAAGAACTAAAAAATGACAGTTTATAGTCTTTTTTCTATTATGATACTCTCCCTGGTAGTTTTTAAGTGAATTTTTCTTTATACGTGAATTTGATTATTCTAGTGTCTGACGCGCATATCCACTGTAGCAGTTTTTAAGCAAGATTTTGGTCTTTTCATAATCGTGATAAAATACATATAACTGATAAACTACTATCAACCCCAAAATTCAAGGCACTCGGTTGTTTCCGAATAACTCTAAAACGATAAAAGATAAAGACTTGCAATTTTCAACAATCGAAAGGAGACAGTTTAGCCTATGTTTTCATAAGCAAAACCCTTTTGCGAAACCATTCGGAAGATCGGTTTTCTAGAATATCTTTGGAAAACCACTTCGGATCTCCGAAAACTGAGATAGAAATCTATCAGTTTGCTTTTATAGATAGTCCACAGTGTCCTCTCCAAAATGGGAACTAAACTAACTCTTAATTTTTCCTAGTTCACACGTGGCATCGGATTTCCTGAGAGTCCCAGGATCAATATTTCTTTAGGTGTGGTAATTCCGAAAATAAATGCAAACATATGTAATCGACCACGCTGAATATCGTGGCAATATTTGTTTTTCAAAACAGTTCCAAAAACCTGATGAAAACCTATATTAGGTGAAATAACCCATTTTTGCCTATTTTTGAGTAATACTAAAAAATTCATAATCCAGTCAAGATCCATCCAAATTAAGCCAGAATACCAAGATGTACTCTATTTTACTAGCTTAATACTATGCAATTCAATAAAAACTTTGAAAATCAACAGAAAATACTTT